ACAAGGTCTTGCTAAGTTGGTCAAGGCCTTGCTATGTTGCTGAGGCTGACTTTGAACTTGTGATCCTCCTGCCTCAGCCTTCAGCATGGCTGGGATTACAGGTGTGTGCCACCATGCTCAGCTGGCATGGTTTATTATGGTAGTTGTTAGGTACATATGTCTATTTAAATTAAAATTAAATAAAATTAATTTAAACAATCACATTAGCCACATTAAAAACACTCAATACGGCAGCCTCACATAGCTAGTAGCTAACTGAATTGAACATAGCAGATAAGTAACATTTCCTCGTTGCAGAAAGTTCTATTAGATAGATCTCCCTGGTTCCTGTGCTCATCCCAAATAACCTGTGACTGACATAGTGGGTTGAATGAAATATTAAAGATGTTTTGGACAACTGCAGGCCACTAGGCTGTTCTTATAGCTTTCTCCATACCTAGAACACTAGCCAGGTCATCTGTTGTTCTGTCTGATAAAAGATCCCCAAAGTCAGTTATCTATTGACTAGACTAAATGTCTCAGGCCTCAAGTTTGTTTATTGTTGTCGGTCAGCATTACACCATGCAAAAGAAATATGACCAGATCAGCTTGTTTGGTCTGACACATCAGATTTTCCACCTACCTGTTGACAGTACTCACACTATCAGCTCCAATTTGGGGGATTAATCACTTACTTGTTTACAGATTATTTTAAAAAGACAATGTTTATGTCAGTTTAGGCAGAATTTCAAAGCAAGCAGAACATGTCTAAAGAGGGGGGAAATGTCTAAAAAGCTTGAATGTATATTAATATCTTTGTAAGAAGGGGAAGATGGAAGATGGGAGAAAGTGATGTCCCTTAGACAGGTGACCCTGATCTTTGCAAATCTCTTTTTTTTTAAAAAATATTTTTTAGTTATAGTTGAACCCAATACCTTTATTTAATTTATTTATTTATATGTGGGGCTGAGGATCAAACCCCAGGCCTCACATATACTAGGCGAGTGCTCTACCACTGAGCCACAAACCCAGCCCCTGCAAATCTCTTAAAAGTTAGGACAAATAAAATTTTTGTAAGTTGATCTGTTTCAGTGCATTAAAAGGTCTCGGTCCTTAGGTACTAGAGATACTTTAAATTTTTTGTTTTGATGAAGAATATTCATTATTGAGAAAACCTACCTAGATCAACTTTGGATACACAAATAAGCAGTAGCTGAAGAGCTATATGACTACTTTTTTCAAATATTTTGTAGTTGTATATGGACAGAATGCCTTTAGTTTGTTTATTTTTATGTGGTGCTAAGGCTCAAACCCGGTGCCTCACACATGCTAGGCAAGTGCTCTGCCAGTGAGCTATAGCCCCAGCCAGCTATATGACTATTTTGCAAATAATAAAGTAAGATAAGGATCAGCAGTATTACCTGGCGCAGGGTTTCACACATGCTAAGCCTGAACTCCATATGCAGCCTTTTTATTATTTTATTTTGAGATAGGGTCTTGCTAATTTGCCCAGGCTGGCCTTGAACTTTGGATCCTCCTGCTTCAGCCTCCTAAATAGCTGGAATTACAGGTGTGTGCCATTGTGCCCAACTTAATTTACTATTTACTGTACTAAAAATACATATTGTATATCCTTTTTTATCCACAATAGGTATTTCAATCGCAGCATGATTAATGTTTTGGAGCCAGATTACTCTTCACTGTGGGATGCCCTATATATTGTGGAATGTTTAGCAGCATCCCTTGCCTTGACTTGAAGCTGATGAATGGAAGAACTCACTCCTAGAGAGGTTGGGCTAGAAAGAATAAAATGAAGGTAGAAAGGAGACGAAAAGAAGGACAAGGACAACATACCTTTAATCTGAAAGCATTGTGCTAAAATCCCTCACAACTTCACTCCCCAAGCCTATTCTCTCTCCCAGGCTGGTCAATCCCACATTTCTGGGAAATCT